ATTTCAATTACTATCGAAAGACAAAAAAAAGTATTAACTTATTCTGTTTCTTTTCCTCCAGGTGTCGTAGAGTGGCAATGCTAGAAAAATAAACTTACTCATAAGAACAATTGTAACTGGCAAATGTATTTGAGATTAACAAGTTACTACAGTACTGAAGAATATTTCAAGGGAAGATTTGAGCAGCAATGACAAACTGATAAGAAACTGTGATATGGACATAATTAGAGAGCAATTACAGCAACCCAGGGACTCAGAGTCTTATAAATAATACTACATTTGGTGGGAACATTAAAAGTGACCTCTATGTCTCAAAAAAAAAAAAAAAAAAAAAAAAAAAAAAAAAGTTATCTCCCAACATCACTAGCTTTGGAGGAAGCAACGACATCTCTCATAAAGGTAAGTGACTTCACTGGGATCTGAAGAAGCATCAGGACAACAGAATAGTAGATTCAATGTAGTCCCTTGTTTCAACTATGTTGAGAATTATTTTTTCTCTAAACAACTTTCACAGACTACTTTTCAAGACCCTACAATACATAATGAAAGTTTTAGCACACCCATACTGGGACACAATCTTCTTGTCTGCATAATTATTCCTAGATATGGATTACATTTGAAATAACTCCTGTATCCCCTTTGCAACTTTGGTTTGAAACACTGTAAGAAGCTACCAGAAGAGAAAATCTCAGTACAAGCCAGCTTCCTCTTACGAGCTGAAAAAAAAAAAAAAAAGGGGGGGAGGGGAAGGGAAATAAATAAATGAAAGCCCTCAAGTTGGTTAGGTGTAAGCCTGTTTTCTGCATTGAATCAGAAAGCCACAGGAAGTCCCCACAGATTTCTTGTCACGTTGTCCCCCTTATCTCAGATAATAAACAGCTCCTTCTGAACCTATATTTTTAAAGAGTACATAAGCAAGCTGGTGAACTGATATGCAGCAGTCTCCCAAAACAAACAAATGACAGAAATTCTAGCAAAGTGTTGCTCGTGCCTCAAGTTTGAGCCTATACTAAACCTTTTCAGTCCACTCAGTTCCACAAAAGCAGTTGATTTCTGTATTTAGGTTGCTTTTTCTTTGTGATCAGGTTACGTTCACAACAACCACTGAGCTAATAACATTATAAAGCTATTTCATAGCATTTATCAGGAAACATGAAATAGTTCCATTGCAAATGGGTTATCTAAAGGTCTTGATACATTACCAGGAACACCATCATTCTGCCCCCTTGTGCACTGCTGAGGAGAGACTGCAGGCACATCTGGCAACCCACTGGCATTAAAGGCCAGCTGCCTTTCCTCGTCAGCTTCTTTAGAAGTGACTGACTGGTACTAACCTGCAGCAGTGTCACAAGATCTTTCCCAATCAGTGCCACTAACCCAGGGGCTCTCTGTTGCTGCTGCCTTCACCTTTAACTCATTTGCTAATGCTCAGTCTTCTGTGTAATGAAGAAAGTTCTTCCATCGTAGTAAAAGTTCAACAAACTACATTATTTGAACTTCAGCAGAATTTTCACTTTAAAGAAAAAAAAAATGTTGTGGTAAAAATTACCAGATACATAAGAAACTAGGTATGCAACAACAAAGAAAAGTACATAATTTACTGATCACAAGCATCATTGTCTACAGAAGGTTCAATGGAAATACTTTGCTCTCTTCATAATTCAAAAATAAATAAATTTCCTTCTCACCTGATATTAAGTCCCTCTTCATGCACTAACTTACCAAGTACAAAAAGGAACTCTACCCAGTAGCACTCCTTCCCACTACTCTATCAACTCTAAACTAGCTTCAGCTTTTTAAGTTATGCACGTTAACAGCCAATCAGCATGGACTTCATTTCACCTGACCGAGGATTTCTTTGGCAACACAGCTGTGCCAATAGCAGCATGCAAACATTCATGGGCATCAGGCATAAATACTCACCCAGCATTCAAGCCTTCCAATCTTTCTTGTCTGTTGAACTTAACAGCTCCTTAGAATACTCTACCAATTTGTATGGTAAATGTCAAAATAACAACTATTAGTTCAAAAGGCTTGCTATCAGGCTAAACCTAAAATTCACAAATCTATTTCTAGTGCTTTGAGAGGGTACAATGTGTACCCTCAGTGTAAGTTGTCTGTCAGTTGACTTTCATGAATCCTGCTTGAACTCCTGCTTGGCCAAGACATGCTGGGTTCAGGCAGACACCTGCCATCAGTCACCCTCTTTGGGGACCTGCACACTGAAAACACAAGACATCATGCAGGGAATAATTTGCAACCTCTGAAATTCCTAGATGCAATGTAGGCAAGTAATATCAAAAATTTTCAACTTTAAATCTCTTGATGTCCTTACTGAGGTGTAAGTGCACATACTCATCTTTTTACAAGGCTGTCATTATGGCAAGAAAACTAACATAGAATGTGAAGTAGTTCAAAACACGCTGAGTATACGATGCCAGGAAAAAAAACTTGGATTTTCTAGGAAACTTTCTCTAAAGTTTAACAGCATACATAACCCATGCGGCCACCCTAAGAAAAATGTGATTAAAAAAGCAAAATCAATTAGAAAGGAATAGCTCGGTTGGTGCCAGAACACAGTCAATGAGCCTAAATGATTTGATTTTGAGTTAGGAGTTACAGGCTTAAACTTCTGTACGCTTAACCATTATTTAGCTATCCAGATATCACTTCAAGCCAAGCCGGCTCTACAAAAAGCTTGCTCCAATTTCCTTCCTTCTGATTTACTCTAGAAGAAAGACTTGTTGAATGAGATTGCATCCACAGCTTCCCTCCCCATGCTGAAGTTTCTCTGACACTTATAACTTGTGTGATAATTGATAGAAAAAGAAGGCAGTTTTCATGGTATATTTCTTTAAACCTCAGAGCTGGATTCACTAATTGAGTGCAGTCAAGTTATCAAAGATTGAGTAGGAAATCTTTCATCCTAAATTCTGTGCATTTTAGGTTATGAGATCACAGATACATAAGATAAGGGGCTTAAGAACAGTAGCACACTAATTCCTCCAATCTAGGAAGCATCACAGTTTTCTGCATCGTAACCTACTTGCAATGCACAAGCAAATCCTCTTTTCTGCATGAATGTTTTCAAATATTCCAAGTCATACATACATATAAACAACCAACAAACCTCCATGCAGCGTGCCATTTAGGTCACTTTACATTAATTGACTCCAAAAGGATAACAACTCTGAAATCTGCTGTAAGATTTCACTCGATATTTCTCTTCCCATTAAAATTTTCCAAGCATTAATGATCATGTCACAGTAAGGTTTAATCAACCAGATCATGATGATGAGACAAGTATCGGCATGAGCAATCACCTGCTACATCTGCTTCAGCACAGCCAGGGTTTTCCCATCAAGCTAAACTCCAAATCCATCTTAAAAATCTAGACAGAACGGCACATAACTCCCGTATTTTCCTTTGTGGAGATCTGAGTCAGCTGCCCAAAATAGTGATCAGAATTCAACGAATGAAAACAAACTCTCTGAGATTTTTTCTTTCTTCAAAGACAAATACATACAGCACACTTCAGAAAACAAAGCAGGAAACAAAGGCTCCCTTCCTGCTTCCCTGCACTTCCCCAGGCTCCTGCTTCCCCAAGCCTGCCCCCTCTACTTACGTTTGAGGTTCAGCTGAGAGTGTCTCCCTTCTCCCTTCACAGTCGCTCCACGCAGGACCGGCACACGCACAGCTCATCCCATGGGGCGTCTGCAGCGCCGGCGTTTAAAGATCCACGGGGTGAGCCAGCCCTCCTCTGCTCCCAGCCTGCCAGTCCCAGCAGCATATCGAACCACAGCACTAGCTCCCAGCAAATGCCCATCCCATTATTCAGCCTGACTGGCCCCACTGCCACCCTTACAAGCGCAAAAAGGTGACGTTTTTAAGTATGGTTATTGTAAATAATGGACAGCTGGAGAAGCTCGCTTCCCAGCCTGATGCTCACTCCCAGGGCTAAGCATGCTCTTGCCCTATATCCGCACCCTGGTTGGGCAACGTGGGCAGTCAGTGATGGAGGGCACTGTCAGGGATTTCCCTCCCTATATCTGCACCCTGATTGGGCAATGTGGGCAGTCAGTGATGGAGGGCACTGTCAGGGATTTCCCTCGCAGTCACTGGCACCGGTGGCCTCTTATGCTTTTGCTGCCAGGAGCCTGTCTCTGTCTCCCCTTGACCACCCCCTTAGGTAGCCAGAAGCTGCACCCAGCACCCCCTGCGGCCCCCCTTGTTCAAACCCAGCTCTGCTTCCTTCTTGCTGACCAGTAGCTCCATCCATGTGGCCCAGAGCCACACAAATGGGCACAGGTGGTCAGCCACACATTAAACACAAAGCTGTATGTCTGCCAAGATGTTGAGCAACATGAACTGAGCACAAAGCATTGCTGCTGCCCAGCAACTGACCCTGCATCGATTAAATTCCATCTTCAAACGTATGGCTCAGCATGCAAGCATCAATACGTTGCTCGCCATGGGGATGCTTGACTGACTGAAAATAAAAGGAATGGCACAAAGTGTGGTATAGGCATTTCTTACCTCACAGCACCTCATTGGTGTCAATTTTGTAATGTTGAGCTCTTCAGAAGCACTGAACCATGATGAAAATCACAGAGATGTGAAGGCATTCTCTTTGGATTCTTCATTCTCGTACAGACTGCATTGGCCAGAAGGGTATTGTAAAAATAACTGCATTTCTGGCTAGCTGTGATTATAAAAAAACTGAAAATGCTCCCCTTCTCCCCCTTGGGAAGCAGGTATTCAGAGTTGCAGTCAATGAGTTAGTGGAGTTTTTTATTACTTGTTACAGACCTTATTTTGGGTATCGGTGTAGTACATCTCTCCATCTGAAACACCCCCCCCCCCCCAACCCTACAACTTCGGAACAATTTCCTCTTGGTGATAGCAAGGCATACATTTGTCCACCTGTAAATTAGCCCAGATACCTATGATTTGACAGTTATGAGCAAAGAAGCTCAAGCATTAGAGCTTGGTACTAAAGATGTAGTTCAGTAACAACCACCATTTGTTCTTTTACTAATTGCTTTGAAGATGATGGAAATTCATCTACAGACATAAAATCTTCAAGTGTGACAATGTATACCTACAGACAATCTAGAAATGTTAAAGATTGCAGAAGAACTTCCTAAATTGGAAGCTGAGATTTCAAAATAAATTTTACTTAGGCATTTATTATCCTGAAGGCGTGATCAATATGTTACAATGAAATGAACATTGTGTCAAAACAGAAAGAATGAACTTCATTGGAGGGACACACACACACACAAAAGTGCCTATATAATATAGAATTATACATTGTAACATAAAAGACAAAAATATGGTTTGATTGTCTTATGTAAATTTCTGGACATTAGCGCTATATATTGATTACTGATTTCATCTTTTGTTCCCATTACTTGTTGAAGTACCATATTTCCATTTAACTATTTGGCTTGGTGAGTTCCACTCCCTCCTTTAAAGATACCCAGTAAAAACAAGAGATCATTATTAGCTGCTGTCTTGTTCTTGCTCTTGGTATCTTGATGCTTAATTTTTCAAGTTCACTTATTGACTTACTCTCTGTTATCTACTGGTCATGAACCAGTTTGAAAGCAAACTATAGATCTATAGACACTGCTTTGTATACTCCGCACTCAAATCAACCACATGGAACATATTTTAGAGACCTTAACAGCTGTGCATCTGTTTTTGTTCCTTCTTTGTCCATTAGATATCTCTATTACCTTGTTGATGTGACCCATTTGATAAACTTTTTTGCCTTTACAATTACATTGTTATGTTCTATTATGGATATTTGATCAATTACGATTTTTTTTTTTTTTGCTAATCTTGCAACCTTTGCCCAAAGCACTGGCTTTCAGATGAAAAACTACATAGTTTCATAAGTACTATACAGTGTCTTTGAAGTTTAGGAATCTTAGATCCATAGTTACTTAACAATGGTATATTTTACCACTAATATTTTTTCAATATCTTTTAAAAAGAAATGATAAGCCCTCTAACATCCAAAGCTGGATTTCCTTTGTCCTTACTTAAAGAAATAAGGAAGTGATGCTTTGTAAACTGATGAGAGACATGTGAAATGGTTCTAGTGACCCTTCTGAGAATGGCTGGCTCTTCTCATTCTTATGTCTACAAGCTGGAGCTCAAACTTCTCAGAGATCAGAACCTACCACAATACATCTCAAAGCTGGACATGAATGTAACCCTCTTTGCATGAGAAAACCTAACTAAAGCTGAGATTTGGATTCCAAGGGAAAATTAAATGCCAAAGAAAGCAAAATTTTCAAGCTTCAGACTTGTTTAGACTGACAGGATTCTGATTGATAGTTTGAGTTGGCTCCAGGAATTATGGCATTTAAATACAACTAAGCCTCAAGCTGGAGGTTTACTGGACTGCTGCCTCATATCTCTCTTCCATGCATCCACATCAAGATTAGTCTTTCTTCAGGAATTTCTATTTCAGCTGTATGTAATTAATCCTCGGACATGGAGAAAAACAGTGTATCTGTTGAGTGCAAGAAGACAAACTGGACTCCCTAAGCCCAGTGATCCAAATGTACATGCTTAAACTCAGCTTGAGTGAAAAGCATTTGAAGTTCAAATTGCCTTGGAATTAGTTGCAGAAGACAGAAAGATTGAATAACAAGCAAAGCAGGTCAGGTAAATAACTGCCTAACAAAGGTCAGAAAAATGTGAGGGCTGTTGATACCTGAGTTTAGAGAACTTATGATTGTAGTTCCACCTGGGGACTTGAAGAAACCATCCGAATAGAGAACAAAATGCAGGAAAGAAATATAAAAAATAAGTATATTTAAAAAAAGGGGGTTAGGGTGGATAGGGGGAGAGAATAGAGTCATTCAGGTAAATAATAACACTTTTTTGTATTTATATGATACCTTCCATCCCATAGGCTCCCACAGCAGCTGGCAAATTTAACAAACTGACAGCCTCGTAACCACGTAACAAAATTATTTTATCTGTCTCTTATAGCATTTCCACTGAAACAAAGAGCAGCAGTTTAACAAGGTAGATCTACTATGGTGTACAATACAGTTAATTAAAGCTATACTGAGGATAAAATTATCAGTAGCTGGAATGGATGCTGAAATCTGGATTGAGCAGCTGTTGGAAAGAGTATTTCTCCAGTTAGCAACGGTGTTGAAGCCTTATCTCAGATCTTGCAGTCCTACCATGCCCAGGGCAGGCATTCTCATGAGTGCTCCTCAGGGCAGCTGCTTCTGTGCGAGGTACCTTCCCAGCTTGTAGGCTCTCTCATGGCAAAATTTTGTTGTTGTATTCCCTGGACAGAGATAGACTGTAAAGATCCAGGCAGAAAGGCTGGCTCAGAAGTTGATCAAGAGGCATCGTACACTCCAACTTTGAGATGTATCTGTATCAAGCTCATCTGTCTTGCACTGTGGACAGCAAACAGGCAATGTGAAGAGGTTCAACGTCATTTCACAGAATAAATAAATAATCCAAAACCACCTCTAGTTTTGCTGTTGAAACAAGAGGAAGGTATGTTGTCAAAAACAAAGAGATAATTTGCAATCATGTTCATTTCTGAATGGTGCAAGGACATGTTAAGAAACATGTTTTGATGAATATGACATGAGAAAAGAATTATATAACAATGAGCAAAACTGACTAATTCAGCAATCCATGTTTTCTACGGGTTATTCTTCCAGAGGTTTTAAATAGCCACAGATGGATTTGGGAATTCATCTTCTGACTGTTATAAGCTAGAGTGTAAACAATCAAAGTCATCCTACTGTGATTCTGACATCTCTGAGAAGTCAGACATACTTCATATGACACCAGAAACATCTTAATTGCAAAGAAAAATGAAAGAATTAGCATGGCCTGGCCACCTTCTTGTATTAAAGAACGAATGTTAGAAGCTCAGGGCTTGGAAAACTTCTGAAGAAATTGCATGGTTTAGACTGAGCCACAGATTAGAATATGCATCTCATTGTTTGCACAGAAGGTATAAATAAGAAAACAACGTGTTAGTGCTTGTCTAGGACACATCTGACCACCTAAACAGAAAAAATGTAAAGAAGTACAAACTTGACTCTTTTCTATCCCACTAACAGAGGGCACATGACATTAGCCAATTGCAAAATTTAATTATGCATTTTCCTTTTCTTCCTATTCTGCCTGTGCCAAATCCATGGAAGCCACTGCCTGCTGCCAGTCAGAGAGAGAAACTGGAGGTAAATAAGGTAGTGGTCGCTGCTGGAACAGGGGCCCCAGCACAATTTTCATTTCTTTCTTCCAACCTTCTTCCCATCATCCCACAAGGTTGTACTGTGTCTATCTCCTCGTTCTGCCAGTAGAAACGGGTTACCAGAACTCAGACACCAATTTTCCTGCCAGCTTTATCACTTCCTGCAAAAAGGAAGAAAAGAACAACAGTGCCAAAATCCAGTCCCAATCTTTTGTTCTTCAGGTGAGGACAAAGGATCTTCAGTCACATTTTATGGTCTTCACAGCCACTGAAGTCCCTAACTTCCGGGAGAGCAATATCAGCACCAACGCAAAGTACCAATTTGTGAAGTAAAATATTTCCAGCTTTTTGACAAAGCTGTAATATTTTCACTTTTAGCTCATTTTGATTGAGAAACATTTTATCATAGCAGAACTCTCCACAGAAAAAAATGCATTTTGCTTTATGACTAGATTCAATCTGGACCAATTCAATCAAAATTTTTCTCCAACAACTTAATTTAAAAAAAGATCCAAAAAAAACCCACATAAAAGTTACAAATTTTGCTGTCAATGTCATGGCAGTGACAGATTTTTTTGTTGTTGTTGCTGAACCATTATCTTCCATACTGAAATTTTCCATTTCTGGTCAAAGGTGACTTGTTTCTATAAAAAGAAACAACAGAAGTGTTTTCACACTTCAAATGTTTTAAAACAAAATTGTTTTGTGTAAAAAGCAGGCTTGGAGAATTTCATCCTTGAAGGTTAATGCATCAGAGTCCCGTATCAGTGCTGATAAGGGCTCTAGATAATGACTTTTAAAAAAGAAATCCAGTCCTTGTATTGCTTTCCTAATTCAAACATTGTTTCAAAAAGAGATACGTGCAGTAAGGAAGTCCTTATAGGTCTTCAATTTCTGCGTACCAAGGGAAGGAAGGATGTACATGAATGTAATAGCAATAATAGTTCTGTCCTTGAAGAGACAAAGGTACAGCTATGAATACCCAGAAGGAATACACATTTGACAACTGCTGTGCTACTGCTTGGACATCCCAGCCCAGAACACTTAGCAGAAAATGCTCTGCGCTGTTAAGCATCTGCTCCAGGGAATCCAGTACGCCAGCTAACACAACTACAACCACCCTGGAGATGCAGTGAAACATTGGCCTTGCTCTGTGCAGCATGCTTGTGAGTAATGGCCCGCTGTGTCCTAAATGCAGCACGTTGCAGGGTATGGTAATGAAAGAGCATCGAAAGTGACCTTCCTGAGCTACGCCTTGACAAATAGTATTTCACTGACCATACATCAACTCTAGCTTTGCAAGCCCTTTCGTCACAGCCAATTCTCAAACTTAACAATGGGAACTAAAATCCAGATTCCCGTTAAAATTAACGGTATGAGATAAGCAATAAATTTCAGAACTTCTCAAGATGTGTTGTGAAGCAAAACCCACAAATATGTAACAACCTCCTCATCCATCTTGGATACAATATTTCTGCGTTTTAAGTTGGTCTTCACATAAAAATATCCTCAAATAAAGGTGGAACCAGAGTAAAATGGCAGTTAAATGATACATTCAATTAAGATATTGCTTAGAGTCTTCAGTCTTGAATATCTTCAAGACTTAGTGGCAAATACAGACAACATTGTTGATTTTTACCTCGGAAAATGAAATTAATAGTGTGCTGTAACTGAATTAGATGCATCATAATGATTTTGCCCTGAAGTGAGAAAAAATTTGGATTTCATCTCTGCTCTCAAAGTAAGCCATCACTAGAATCTGTGGGTGACAATTTGACCGATGAATTTGGCAGGTTTTCACACCAAGTGCTTAAATTAAATGAAAGCAAACTCAGGATATCTCATCTTTCTTTCAACAAGATCTTCTGTGATTTCATCTTCGTGAGATTCAATACTACTCAATTGGAAAAAGGGAAAAAGAGAGAAATATTTTAGAATCACAGAATGATTTAAATTATCTAGCTCCAACAGCCATGGGCAGGGGCACCTTGCACTATGTCAGGCTGCTCAAAGCTGCATCCAGTCTGACCTCGAATGCTTCCAGGGATGGGGATGTCATATCTTCTCTGTTCTGTGTTCCTGTTCCAGTGCCTTACTGCTCTCACAGTCAGGAATTTCTTCGAAACATCTAATCTAAGCCTAATCTCTTGCAGTTTAAAATCATTACACATTGTCTTATTGCTGCACTCTACACATAAAGGCTCCCATATGGAAAAAGAAATTACATTTATATGCACAGACTCATGCATAAGCAGCATAAATCTCACACAGTATCTACAGGATAGTTGATAGAAAGTATGTACTGATCAGGGAGGAAAGCTCCATGTCTTTTTCTTCTTTTAGATAAATCTACAGCAATATAAAAGCACACTTCAACCACATTAGCATAGTTAATAGCTAAAGTCACTTTTTTTTCCAGAAGAGATAAAAATAAAGAGCTACTCAAAATCCTGTTCTTCCATTCACTGTGCAATTTCAGTTCTGTAATCTCTTCTCTGTCACGATCTGGTTTTCATTTCCGAGTTTCTCTTGCAGTAATGCAACATGAGTTTCTGTAATCCCTGTTCCATCTGGTATAGAAGGCACTGGGGCACACTTACCTTCATCAACAAAATAGGTATTACTAAAAATCTAGCACTTCAATAACATAAAAAAGTGTAAGGTAAAACCACTTCCCTAATAGAAAATATTTAAGATGAAACCTGCCTTCAGATGTTAAACAAGGAGCCTAGCTGTGCTGACAAAAGTTCAGTATTTTGTATGGTGTCTATTCTTTGCAGAAATTTGTGAACCTAGTGGTGCTCACTGTGCTATTCAAACCCTGAAAAAGAAAAAACAAAACAAAACAAAACAAAACAAAAAAACAAACAGTATGCTTTCTGAGCTGGCTTCCTGATATATTTCAGAGTGCACTCTCTTAATATGAGTAGGGAGCAGCAAAAGCAAGAAAGTATACAAGCACCAAAACTGCCACTGGTTTGGTTGAATCGCACATGGCTGCCTTTCAGGCCTGACAGAGCAAACCGGTACAGGAATTATGAAAGATCGAAGTTACTAGCTGCAGTTTAGAGGGAGAAGTACAGCACATAGAAAAGGAAAGACTTGCTGAGTATCTCAAAGGAGGATGGCACGCAGGTGTCAGGGCTTACGCTACCAGCTGGGGTCCTCCTTCCCATTCCTACAAGCATAAGCAAGAGCAGCTATTACAAGAGCTTCTTTCCCGTGGTTCTCGTGGAAATAGAAACACAAAAGGGCACATCCCCTGAAAAGGAGATAATGCTTCACTTCTTCTACGAATAACTTACCAAAAAAAAAAAACCTTGAAAAAATTATTTTTTTCCCCCATTACAGCGAATACAGGATAGCCAGAGTGTGAAATCAGTGCTAGGTGACTTCAGGGAGATAGGCTTTTCCTCAATGCTCAGAACTGCAAAGGAGAGAGAAGCATATGAAATAAGGTGTTAAAAAAGAAGAACAAAAGGATATTTTCATAGTGAGACATAGCGTCTTACAAGGGGCAACTTTAAGGACTATTGCAGGGTTCATATATCTTCTAAATTTTATATATATATATATTTAAAATCACATGTTTATAAATAAATGTTAATGAAAATTTTGAATTAAGTTCTAAACTGGTCAGGTTGCATGCCTACAACTGCTGGGACTGCCTACTTTTGTGTGCATCTACACATTATGATTTAAAAAACGTTTTAATTAAAAAAAAAATAAAAATTCCCTAATATAGTGAACAATTTTCATTGATGAAATTAAGTGCCCCTTTACCGGTTGCTTCTTCTGGCAACTCTAATTTCGAACTCTTCATCTGAGAGCTCAGCTCAGCAGAAGGCAGGTGTACAGAAGACATCATGTTAGGCTGCAAAATACATTTTGCTACAATTAAGTTCAAGAAATGCAACTAGACAGGATAACATTGGTGTAGTAGTTCTCTTAGTTGTTTTGAGCTTTTCCTGAGTCTTCCACATGTTTTTCTTCTCTTACTCCCAAATGCTAAAAAAAAAACAAACAACTCTCCACTCTCCATCTCCCCCCTGCCAAAAAACATAAAATAAATATTTCCTTGGCAAAGGTATAATTTGGCAGCAAGACCTTTGAGGCTGATATACTTCAGCAACAGTTCTACTTCTACCCAAAATTTAGACGCAAGAAAAAAAAAAAAAAAAAAACAATTAAAAATGAGTAGAGCAACGAGAAATCAAAAATTTGGAGATGGAGCAGAGCCAGTTCTCCCTTGCCTGTTCCATCAGTCAGAAGGGTGTATCATCAGCATTCCAGGATGGACTGCAATCATTCACTTTTATAACTAGAATAAAAGATAAAAGAAGAATTTAGCATAAATTCCACAGGAACCACAGCTGTTCACATAACGCAGATTGCTTAGGCAGACAGCATTTGTTTGCAGGTTTTTGGGTACTTTCAACGGTGTAGCACTTGACTACTCCATTAACTTCATAACTGCATCTCTGTCAAGAAACAGAAGTCAAAGAAACAGATGAAGAACCTTCAGATAACATCAACAACATGGTGTAGCATTATACTCCGAGGAGGAAAAAAATTCCAGACCTCAGCAGGTTAGACTTTTCCGTTGTTACTAAAACAAACAAACAAAACCTAAATTAACTGAAACATCCCTACGCCCATCTCAATCCAGTTAAATCAAATAGCGGTAAATTGTGATTTGGTGCAAGATGCAGGAGAGACACTAAGCCTCTGTTCGACAAATTCAGTGTTTTTTTCTCCTGTCAGTTCTTCCCGTAGTCATCAAGACTAGAGTAAAAATCACTCCTCTGTTTACCTCATGGAATCATGATTTACTATTCTATCACAAGCTTCTTGTGTAAGTTTTAGGGAAGTGAGAGCAGAGGTTGGTCAACGGCACTGATCTTCATACCTGTGTTCAAAACACAACCTTACTCTTCTATGCACATTGCTGATGAGAAATATTTTTGGACAGAAATCACTGTTAGCTCTTACTTCAAGAGTACTGGTCCTTTTTTTTCTAACTTTCTTTCTCAGCTCACTTTTTTCCACACCTAAACCAGCAAACATTTCTCCAGTCTATTACTAATGAGATCTGCTCCAATTCTTTTTCACACAGAAACTGCAGGGGGAGGAGGGTCTGGGTGAGCTGACACTACAGAAGAAAAGGAATAGGTTAGGCTAAAAAAAGAATGGCTGTGCTAATCTTGCCTCTTCCTCCAGTTTTCTCTTTCTTATCTTGCATGGCTCACATCTTTGTACTTTTTCACAATTAAACATCTTTCTTACAATTCTGCCAAAATTCTGCAGCTGTGCAGTATCAAAACTAGATTTTGGACCATGGACAGCTGAATTCTTTGGAGGAGAGTCACAGCTCCTCAAAACATAGCCAGAAGGAACTGAAGCATCAGCACTGCCAGAAGGCCAAGCCTTTTAAGAACTAGACAGAGAAAGGCTCTTAGATAGAAAAAGGGGAGGAAGGGGAGTGAAAAAAAGTAGATAAATGATCAGTTGCACTGGAGATCCAAATTGAGAAAAGAATGCAGTTACAGAATAACACTCATAAGGAAAAAATGTAGAACGCAAAGCAATTTGTGTGACTACTGTAAAGAAACCTGAGGTGAGCAGTGGTGTGGAAAAGAACTTGAAGGACAGAGGAGAAAGTAGCAGATCAAACAAAGGTAGGTGAATACTTCTCACATTTGGAATGTAACCTCTTCGTATATCTTCTATTGCTACTCTTCGAAGAGCAACTACCTCTGACATGAATCTGCCAAAAGGCTTTTATTTTGAGTTTTATATGTATTCCTTTTAAAGGCCCTATATCTCCCTCGTACCTGTGAACATTGGCCCTTGAAATATTCCTATATATGTGTAAGCTCAATATTTTCATCGGCCAAATGGTACTTAACCACACTGATGATAGCTGAGGATATAGTCTGGTGCGACCAAAACGCTGTAAGCAACCAAAAAATTTGAGTGACAAGTGACAAGATTTGCTAAAAGGAGAGTTGACCAGAATGTTTCAGGCTCTCTAGTTCCCAGCAACAGCATATGGTGATGAAATGTGTTCTTGCATTGGCATCCTGCTAATCCTGCCTGCTAATCCTACCTGTGGTGGGAATGCCTCTCAGGAAACAGAGAGTCAACAGTGCCTCACAGCATCACTAGCTTCTACTGTGTGATTAATGTGAGCTGCTCACACATTTGCTCTTTCTTTTTTTTTTTTTTTTTAAACCGTATATCCAGGTCTCCTTTTTAATGGATATTCAAACAGCACAGCCTGCAGGACACGGACTTGCTGCAGGTCCTTTTAATTCTGCTTCCACTCTCTGCTCTTGGCTGCAGCTTGTGTTTTGTTCCCTCCACAGAAGCAATTCCTACCAGAAACACGTGGTCAGAAGAGGCTGCTCTGGAGACTAATGAATGAGTTCCAACAGTCCTCCCCCAGGAGGGTTCAGCCTCCCAGTGACCAGAAATCTTATTCCAGGGCTGAGTGCCTGGTGGGAGATGTTTCACACTACAGAAAAATACTGGTGAGTCCCTAAAGCTTCTTTTCCACAGTGTGGGAAATACATGCCCTGGAGCCCAAGGAGCTTAACCCATGAGTCACCTGGCTTGGCTTTGGAGACAAGAATAAAACAAAAAGCATCATGTTGATTCATTAAAGTCAAAGTTTAAACTTGGAATTATTGAGTATGAAAGAAAGCAAGAAAAGAAAAACATAGACATCACACTATTTATAGAGAACCTAATTCCAATCTGTCCTTCTAGCTTGAACAGGGCTTCTCTGAGACATATCTTGGACAAGGAAAAAAGGCGATGATCCACATCCTATCACCAGCATTTATCTTGCCTGCCAGAGATGATCTCTGGCTTTGTCTGCCCTCAGAGCTGAGACAGAGGCCCCTAGACCCATTTTGCTCCCAGGCACTGTCTTTCAGAGCTGGAGTCCCAGAACAACAGGCATGTAGATCCAAACAGCTCTGGGATATGTTACCTGAGATGCAGCTGCATCTTCTCCCTGCTTTGGTTTCAATGTACTTTTGAGTGCTTTCAAATGCACTTCAGACCTCCCAGATCCTCTCTTGGTTTAACAGGAACATGGCATGGCATCATGCAAAACAACTGTAACTTTATCCTTGTACAAACTCTTTTTTATTTCATTGAAGCGGTCTTCTTGAAAGCTTGACATTGTGAGGAACATTATAGCACTTCACAAACAATACATCAAAGGATTAACTACATAAACATTTTGTTAAATTTGGTGTCACTATTTCATCATTCACCAACTGTAACTGCATATTTTATTACTAATATTTATTATTAGTCTTGACAGGTTTGCCCCTTATAGTGATTTCTACAGACCTTACGCGAGCATTTCCTCACCTCTGATCACCTCTGTCTTTGTGACACTCATGGATAATTGCTGGCTTTCTCCACGGGGTTTCTTAATCCTTCTATCTGATCCCCCCAGCAGCTCTACCTCCATTAATTGATAGGGTCACAGCTGGAGAGGAAAGAAACACGAGTTGAAAAACCATGAATTGCCTCTGGTTATATCATTTCCTAGTGATGTCATACATTCTCACAAAAAGGCTGTAGGCAGAAGGAATCTCAGGCAGAACTGAAAGGAGCTTTTAAAGGCAAAGAAGAGGAGATGATAAAGGCAATCCTTGGCTTTCTTCGGTGGAACAATTACAGCCATAATTCCCTGGTTTAACATTTGGCTTGCTAGAAGAATAAGGTACTACAGTGTCTACTCAAATACAGGATAGCTTTTCAGCTTTTAAAATTCGTTTTCATGATTATAAAATATTTTTATTTACACGTGGTAACTTGGTACTTATCAACTGGAGTTCCAGAAAACTAATAACTTTATCCTTATAGATGCTGCTATAAAAACATCTCCAGAAAACTAAATTGACTTCAAGATATCAGCGTAAACAGAAGTAGGCAACCTTAGCCCAGTGTGTAGATTTAGTTTCATACAATATATTTTGCCTTGTGTGCTCACACTTATGAACAAATTTATTGAGTAACAGAGGTTTAAAGAAGCACTGATGAGTCTTCCTCCACAGGTTTTGAGAAAAGGAAAGCCGACAGCTATAGGAAAGTGTGAAATCAAAATTCCTGAATGTGAGAACCCCGTCTTTTATATTATATGGAAAGCAAAGTATTCATACAAAGAAATGAACATTTCCTGGCTATGAGTTTACTACGTAGGTTTTTTTTATATCACTTTTAAGAACAGATTTTATTTTGTTAAAAAGAAAAAAAGTGTCTGTCTCCATGTGTTTTCAATATTAATGGTATAAAACCTAGTTGGATCTTTGGAGTGTTACCAATGTATTAAGCCTCTACTTCTTGAAACATGCTAGCATATATTATCTGACAGATTTACACGACACTTTAAGCCCTCAGGATTCTTGCTTAGTGTACAAAACAAGGAAAGTCTGTTAATAAAGCTAATGCTGTGCTAGTTGTAAAGCCAAGCATAAAATTGCATTATGTTCTTAAAATGGCACTATACTCACCTGCTACTTTGTGCTCACCAGTAGGTCAGAATGTGACAACAAAGCAGCATAACTTATCTGAACAGAATGGATCCATGATGACCCCACCATGACTGGCTATCAATAATGGCCAACATTTACTTATCCTGTGAAAAGCAGAGAGAAAATGAGTTACAGAGACAGCGCTTGCTTCTCCCAGTGCAAAGTGTCTGCCACCTTATGCTGCTTAAAATAATGCTACTGGTTAGGAGGGACTATTTGGGAATTGGAGTAGATGAGCTCTAAGAGTCCTTTCCAACTCCAGTGATTCTGTTTGCAAAAGACACGACACCTTACATATCACAGGGTCTGTGACCACTGGAAGCCAGAAGTAAGATGGCAGGTATCCTAGCATAGCAATTGGGCTGCTGCAACCAAGAGAATATGCATGTATCCAAGCATTAATGGCATGTTCTTGTTCATGAATGGGCAAATCTTCAGTTTGCTTTAGAAGCCCAGATGCAAATGAAGGATAAACTGGCTCTAAGTTTATGCTATCTAAAAGCATATTAATGTGTTGGAAATTCTTTCAATTAATTTTTGCACCCGAACTTGATTGGGTAAAAATTTTTTTCCTCAAAATGCTCTGTTTAACCACTTTCTTAGAGCTGCCTTCCAAAGTATATTCACTTAAGTTTTCTGTATTTAATCTGTAATTATTTTTCTCCATTTCCTAACCTGACTAGGAATTTAAAACATCTCATACTGCTTCTTAGCTACAAATTTTAAAGACAATAACGCCACAGAGAAAAGTAATGTCGTATTGCTGAGAAGCATTAATAATATTCAATACTCAAAGCTTTGCTAAAAAGATTTCAAAAAGGGACTAAATACGTTTTAAATAAGAGCTTTCTTCTGGACTTATTTAAAATAAAAACTCATTTTCAGCAATATTTTTTTTTCCAGGAAAACAGGTTACACTGTAAAAGATCTATATTAATACAGATACATTCAAAAAAATCTATCACTTCAACATCACTTGTGCCCAAATCAGTGTATTTCATTTTGCTGAACAGACCCTCATTATCCAGTTTTTTGGCAGTTAGAAAAAAAAAAAAAAAAAAAAAAAAAAGGAGATAGGAGACAGGAGACAACCACTCCCTGTTGATATCTGCTCTCATCCAAGTAAAACATTACCAGTTTCTCACTGCCTAAACTGCTTGGTGTGTGGGAGTTGCACAAGCAGGTGATTCATGAGAAAGTTATTTCAGTACACATCTTAAAAAGCTATTTTAAAAAAAATACTCCTTTTCCCCTCACCTACCCCTCTGATGCATTTACAGAAAATCTGGATAAATACTGAAGTTACAAAGTGCTTTGAGATTATTTGGGGCTAGATTATTTTTGAGGTCCCTTCCAACCCAGGACATTCTAGATTCATCTATGGTTTCAGTAATTCAGATCAATTTATGAATGTACTTTATCAACTTTGACATACTAATAGATCCTGAGATGGAATATATTTCTATTTAAATTATTGATTTTTGAGGACTTTTATTCCTAAACAGAATGAAATTTGAAATATGAGAAAGTCATATCAGCAAAGCTCTGCATTCAAATACCAGACTGTATCGTGCAAGTTAATTCCAAATCCTATTAACTCTCACAATAGCCCCTTCAGACTGAGATTTTGGCTGTGTGCATCAGGTGGGTATAATTACTGTTCTTCTAGATAATCTCTTATTAACACTTTCTGCTTATGCTTCAAAGTAAAGAACATTTCTCCACCCAGGCTACTACTCAGCGATACAACTGCAATTTCCTGGAGATGAGATTTTTCTATATTGCTCTATAGATCCAAGAAATACTTGAATTTCTCAATTACATCCTGAATGTGCAAACATAAGGGGCACCAGGTGGATGCAAAATAATTCCCACAAAGTAAAGAAGAAACTCTGTCATCTCAAAAAGAAAAAACAAAACAAAAGACCATTACCCTAGAACAAAAACATTTGAAGAGATGGGTATCTTGAATTCTTTGTCTCTACTGTGCTACAAAATGATATAAAATCTAAAGAAATTTGGGAGTTTACTGATGCCTACTGTCCTCTTATGCATTAGCACCCAGTTTGTTTTTTCCATTATATTTCCTTGTTTGTACAAAGTACTCTGATGTGCGTACCATAAGGATGAAATGAATCCTGCATTTCAACTCAAAGAACATATTTCTGTGAGCAAAATTTAGAGCACCTATTGAAGGATTCTTGTGGCCCCATTTTTATCTCCATGATATAAATGAGCTGCGTCAGTACTGCACAGAAATTCATATGACTGAGCTGTAGCTAGAGTATCGCCAAGTAAAACCTGTCAATGGTATCTACAACAGCTAAACTAAATCTATCGACTATTTGGAAGCATCTGCTGGGCTCTAAAAAGCAGAAAACAACATAGATCTTAATCAGATCAGACACCAGCTTCTCTCAACTCTATCTCAAAGTCTATCTGATTTCGTGCTTCTTTATAAAATCAGTTAAGATCATAAGTAGTCAAGATATTCTGTCTGGGAACCCCAAAAGACATCTATGGAAAACAGCACTATTTTTAAAAGACCATACCTATAAAACTATGCCATGAATGACTTCCTCTGATCATTCAAAGTGACACAATCAATTGTACCAGCCACAGGGCATTTCCTGCATGTCTAAAAGCTCTGTTTTCGTAGGGGCATCTTGGCCTCTTTTACAAGTGGAGAGGTGTCATTCACAAATCCATCCCCAGTGCCACCTTTTCCAAGAAATGCACTTACACTTCTCTGCAGAAGAGCTCAGCCTCCTCAGAGCTGAGAGCCAAAGCATCTTAAGAGCAGTGAGTCATTTGCTACACTGAAATCCAGCACGAAACACACAGTTAATTAGTACAGATAACATAACTAGTGACTACAACATGTCAGATGTGGAATATTTAAGCTACAAAATTTTGTCACTTTACAGTAGTTATTTCGCTTTCCAGGCAACTTAGCAATGTGAGAGAATGTTTATGGAAAACTGGATCATTCATTCAAGCATGAGTTTCCAAATGAAGTTTATTTTAAGGAAGTTACGTATAGTTTATTCTATCAAGCTTTTCATTTACATCTGGACTCAGCAAAGCACTTTGGCATGACGCGTTTGAGCTCAAGATGTACTTCCGAGAATACATAACTAGAAACATCAATTTTAGACAAACAGGACTGACATTATCAAGAACGGAAAGAATTTGTAAAGATTTTTGCTCCCTGCAAAAAATGTGCATGTATCTTTTCTCCTACAGACAATCATTGTTGGCTGAAAACATTCTATTTCATCCTAAGTTTTGTTCCAGTTGCCATGCATGTGTTCTAAAGAGCACTCAGCTTACCTGAATAAGTACTTCTATAACAAATGCTCGATTTGTACCTTGAGTTCAGTTTTACAGCGTAGATCTACCCACTGTTTTTAAGCTTATTCACTTATGATCTGTCGTGCTCTCTTCCTTTGTGATTTACAGATTCTCTTCGGGAAGGGCACAAAGAAGGTACTTTAACACTGGCTAGCCTTAAATTACCAGTAATTTAGGTAGCCCTGTCTCGTTGCTCTTCTGAAATCTTCCTCATACTGAAACTGCAATCAGAGCTTCTTATCCAGTGTAGTATCTTGCTCTTGACAACAACTACTAACTCTCTTAAAGGACACACACTAGAACATATAAAGAAGAGCCACAGAAAAAGCTTAATTCCCTATAGAAAAATTTTTAGCTCATTAGTTAGGTGATTTAGATCTCCTCTCGTATTCAAGTCTTCCTTTGTCTTTTACATAGAAGCAGCTGAAGTTCACAGCATTCTACACCCCACACTCTATGTGGGTGCTGGTTATGGGTGGGTGTCTGCTGGTTATGATTTCACTTCTATCCATTCCAGGAAAGTGACAATCACACAAATCTTATATTTCTTGAAGCTTGTTCACTGCTACTCTGTCCTGTCCCGGTACAAAGCACTAAAACCTCCATTTATTACACTGATTTACTACTGGGAAGTGGCCTTAATCAAACTTTCCAAACTAACAAAAACCTAAGCTCATGAGTTGGGATCACGTGAGAAAGATGATGCCTTTTTGCCAATAGGCCCCTGTGGGTGGGATGAGCACATTGCAATGCTTGATTACTGCCTCAGAACCTGCCTTCAAAAATTGTGCTCACTTCTATGAGGGAACTCACTCATAGTTTCAATTTCTGCCCTGTACAGGACATTACACATTTGGCACGTTGGGTAGAGCCCTAGCCAAGAGTGGGAGGACAGCAAAATTTCCCTTCCACAGATATAGCAAATGTCAAAAGGAATGTTTTAGAAAATGGAGTCTAAAGAAGCAAGTCTCATTCTGAACACCTGACACTAAATAATTGCATCCATCAAGTCTTCAGCTTCTGAAAGATGGAAGCTATTACTCTTCCGGAGAGCATGAGTGTTATAAGTAAACACTCTGTCTTTCCAAATTACTGGTGGTTTCCATGGGCTTAGTGAAGAATTTCATCACTTTTTTATTTAAAATTTGAGCTGCTAGGGGACATTTCTATTTAAACATTGATTTCCAATATTCCTCTGAGGAACAGAGATGCGATATAACTGGATTGCCTTTTCATTGAATTTGTAAGAATTTGGTAAATATTTATTCTGGAAAATCTACTTACAACAGTTCTTCAATAAACTTTCATGAGTTTGGTGGATTGCATACCGTACTCATTATCAGAGAACTACATTTACTCACATACCTCATTCACAAAAGCACAAAACTTTGTTTCCAGTTTTCTGCTTTCACTATTTTAGAATCTATGGAGAATTTGAGGTTTGCTGTATAACATCCCCATCATGTGCCCAGGCATACATTTAACAATTTTAAAAGCAAAGACAAGACCACTTCCAAAGGGACTGCTCCCTTCAGGGAAAGTGGAAAAACAGCTGTGAATCATAATGCCAGTGGATTTGATATTCATGATTTGTCCTTTCAACTCAGTTTATTAAAAACAAACATCACCATTTGGCCGCTGCAGGGATGCCTCTTAGGAATAAGTGGTTCTAAGTCTAACTTAATCAACAACAGGCTCAGTTGTTCTCATCTGCTGCATAGGATTCAAAAGCCTGGCTTAGTGATAAGAGTACTATCAGGTACTACAAAAATTTCACAACTCCTTCCTGGAATGAGTCCTGAATGTGCATAACATGTTTAGCTAGTAAAAGTTTTCCCAGGGTTTAGCACAAGTTCACTAATAGTCTTAGGATTTCACTTCTAGAGGAAATTGAACCAGATGTTCTCAAGAGGTGACTTTAAATGGTGTAACTTTAACATTCTAATCTGTTCAGTGCTGATGCTACAATTGTTATTTGCTGCTACATTCTTGCAGGCGTAACATCATTTTTTGCATCACCTGCAGTTCTCATCAGGCTACAAATAGCCGCAAATAGTGCCTATTGATTAGCCCCTCATTCATGGATAATGTGAAAATACGAGGTCAAAGATAGCTTCAGCAATGGAACAAACTTGTTATCTGCAGCAATAGGTGTTGGCTGAAGTGTTTGCAACCAGTCATACAAAGGGTGAATCTTTCCAGCGTCTTGTTATGCTAAGAGATAATCCTTGCATTGCCTGTGATGGGGTTTGGTTCAATCTTCTATGCAAATTTAGTAAGACATACGTAAAATAAACCTTGTGAGGAAGTATAAACTGTGCTAAACTTGAAGTTGTTTGCCAACAATTATTTTCCCCTCTGAAGAATGTACATACATGTTATACCTGACCACTGAGCAACTAAGTGTAATTTTTTTAGGTGATAAAACTCTTGCTTTCATGTACATACAGCCACTCCCAGATCACACCAGGACACTTCACTGGGTCTCAGGCAGAACCCTTGAAGCTTTTAACCTTTCATAGTCTAGCAAAAAGCCTTTATGCTGCAAATTCAATCAGAAGGTAACTGATTCATTTCAGACTGGAAAGAGAAATGCTACTGTTCAGCTTCAAGTGGGGATAGAGATCTCCTCAGACAACTGAGGGAAGAGGGATTCTTACCTCTAGACAGATTTCTTACTTTGTACTGAGATTCTTCTGGTTCCATTTCTGGCAAGAGCTGTCCTCACTTGTGGTAAGAGGTCAACCATGCAATGTGTGATGAGCAGGTAACACTAAAAAAAAAAAAAAAAAAAAAAAAGTACTGCTTTGTCAGTCAACTTCTTTAAGTTGAGTGTTCCATTTTAATTTTGTTTACTTTCAGCAGTCTTCAAAAGTTTGCAATATTACATTAACTCTCAAGAACACAAAGTTTTTTCATTTATTTCAGTTACATGGGAAAATAATTAGAATTCTCCCATGACTTTGCTGTTTCTTTTCAGGAAAACCAAAAGCATGTCTCTGAAAGCTCATACAATGGCAGGGTTTGACTAGAAGAGGATTTCTCAGGAATTTAGTTAGTTTACTGACATCTTACTGTAAGTGGCAATTTCTTGGCAAAAAAAAACACACTGGTAGGAAGAACTTCAGCACGGAAGAAGAGCCATATACAGCATGCTGAATATTTTCTACAGTGTTTTCCAATTGCGTGAAGACAGGAAATCCATCTGTTTGGATTACGTATTTTGTGGTGAGAAGCAGATTGTATTCACTACTTAAGGAGATGTCATGTTTTTCACACACATCGCAGAAGGAAATGATAGTATTGTCTCTTGTCTCTTGGAGATGGCTTCTCCCAAGCCTCAGGGTTATGTGGATCATCAAAACTTTCCCAGATACTCACTCATTCAGGCAGGTCAGGAGGTGGGTAAAGAAGTGAGAAAGCTGCCTGCAGGCAAGCTGTCAGACTGACACTGCAACCGGTAGGGTTGGACAAATACCTGTTTTGTCTTAGAGAGCAACCTGAGGTCTGATATCCAGCCGCACCCTAGCAAGACAGCCAGTTCTTCCAAGCCCCATGTGGCAACCTGCTTTCCTGCCTTCCTGTTGCTGTCTGAATCAGGGGAAATAAAAGGGTGCATTGTCTGAACTGGTGAGCAGATTCAACACGGTTTCCAGAAAAGTTGATCAACTGAAAAGAAAACAGAAAGATACATTCTCCTGTCCTGTTTTCAGTCCCCTGCAAAAGTGCAGTGATTATTTAATGTACAGAGAGGTGTGGGGAGCCTCTAACAAGCATGGGAAGTTGCATATCCACAGTTTCAGTGCTACATATAAAAGAGCACTGTGCATCAAACCATGTGCCATTCAGTAAGATGTTCTTAGATAGGTCAGAACTTGGAAAAAAAAAAAAAAAAAAAAGGTAAAACATTATCTCAACCATCAAAACCACACAGAGCTACAGTGCAGATAAAAGACAATTTACGTACGTATTTAACACTCCTGAAAAGATCAATTTTAGCTAAGAAAAACATGTTTAAAGATAAAGACGTTGCGAAAGCCTGAAGATTACAGCAAATATTTTGAATAAGACATCAAAATAGTTATACTCCAAGCAATTTATGTTTTCCTTCAGTTTTATGAGGGTGGCTGGAATGGTGTAAAATATGTAAAATATGCCTGAGGTAATCAAATGTTTTACATCAAGGTTCAAGTGTTTTTCCTACCCCAAGCTGGCAATGATAACAATAGCAATGTCTAGAACCTGGTAGAACTTGCTTTTTTACACGGAGCAATTTCAATTTGTTTGTTTTCCTTCCTGTTAAAAAAGGAACTGAAAGTAGAGTGGCTATTTGAAAGTCTTTTTAGAAAGACGGCTGTGTTACCTGAATGTCTTGAAAAGAAAACTGGGAGGAAGAGAAAGGGTAGAAATAAACACTTCCACAGCATTTTCATAAAGGATTAAACATTCAAAATCAGCAACATTTTAGGAACAACTCATCTTCATCTTTTCAAACTTCTTCAAGGGAAGCAACCATAAAGACAGGATGGAATCTGACTTGAACAAAGAAACAAAATTACTTATACTGACTTTGAAAACTCAATTCTGTGAAAGTCTGAGATATTTAACATCATTTCCTGTTACATCTAAGAGAAAAGAAAACAAATCCAGAATCCAAGCTCTGCTCTTCACATAAATTAAAGCTCAAATCACTGAGGGTGTAATGGCTTGAAACACTGACAAAATTTGGATCATTTAAAATTATCGTACCTCAAAACGTCTTCATGCATCTACCTCACTTTGCACTAGCACTTTGGAAACTGTACTGCTGTAAATATGTCCAGCTGATTGTTCACCTTTCTATACAGATCTGAAGTACTTATCTCCCCAAACGAGAACATTACAAAAAAATATACTATTCCCAACCCTTTCACTTCTACAAGAACAGCAGAAAGGATTGTGGCTTTGCTCTGTATTTTCTTACTTGCTGTATGTCTGGTTATCAGGGAGACAATATCAAGCACAGTCATTCTTGGAAATTGTTTCAGCCCAGATCAACCTTCTGGGTATCAAACATTTTATGCTCCCTAGCACCTGAGAAAAAGGAAAAGGGAAGGCTCTCCTGTGTTCTCCAGAGCTGCAAAAGGAGAGATTGATGCCAGAGGCTCCATGCAAATTTGTCTCAATCCACAGTTGAAAAAAAAATCACCAGAAAGAAAATTGATTGAATCATAGAGTAACTTGGGGTGGAAAAAATCTTCAAGTCCAACCATCAACCTAACCTATGTCTCTCAAATACCTTCAGGGACAAAGACTCCACCACTTCTCTAGGCAGGCTGTTCCGATGCCGCCCATTCTATGAAGAAATTCTTTCTGTTATCCGATTCTTCCTGATACCCGTGACAATCATCACAGAGAAAAAAGGAAAAGTTTTCTCTGCCTCAAGTATTTAGCTTATCCCTGTCACATGTTGGAGAGCTTTCCCTATCTGATTCTCTTTCTAATCATGCCCAGTATTTGTTAATTTGTAATTAGTTCTGCTGTTTGCACTTGGCCTGACATCAAACAAATACCAGCTCCCTTCTGCTTCTGCTGCACTATAAGCCACTAAACAAAAGAAACTGCCCTCATGTATTTAAGCTTCAACAACTGCAGACAAGCATGAGATGAAAATATTTATTTCTAGAATTAGAAACAGCCACCATATCTATCCACCAAGCTTACCTTCTATGGGCAGCTCAGGAACAGAGCTATCTACGAGATGCATGAATTTCAGTTATTTTTGCACCTAAAGTTTTAAGAAACTGGAAGTGCACTTAAATGACATGCCTGCAGCCTTGAACATACCAACCCAGAAGAAGACACGCTGGAAAATCAGGGAAACCAAGTGGCTGCACCATGGGTCAGGGCAGCACACGTTAGCTGAGGTCCCCATTGTCCACAGCCAGACAAGTACCATGTGCTGCATGTGGCTTACGCAAAGCACAGCTAGCTTATCCAGGAACAAGTATACTGTGTTAGCAACGCATGCTTGATGAGATGCCTGTCTTCATTCTCAGCAGCCATCGCACCACTTAATGGGACAAAGAGGTTAGAACCCTTTTACCTACCTATTTTTCTTTTTCCATAGATGATATTAAATAAGACAAAGAACACCTGAGTACCTTCCATTTAAGCGCTCCAGACTATTACTGAATTCAAAAAGGAATGAGATCAGGAAGTAATCTGAGATTAAAAACTATTTCTTTTCCCACGTTTTCTGAAAAGCAGAACATGAAGGGTCCTTTTCTCCCTAACACAAAAACATAAATGAATCATTTCCTTGCTCATAAGTCCATAACAATTGTTTATTGACATCTGCTAATTTTCTGTTGACTTCAAGTTCAATGATTCTGTGGTTTAGAATTCAATTAACTTCTGGTGTGCATTGACAGATTTACCACTTCTTCCTCCTGTCTCTTTGTCCAGTGCCAAGAGACGGCTCAATCTCTTGGAGTTAGTTCTTCCTCAAGATTTGCAATTAGTCAGTCATCTGCTATTCCAGCTAAAGGATTTCGTTTTCATCCGGTATTTTCAGCAAGATTTTCTTGTATATTATTGTGCATACATTTCATCTAATCTCCTTCAGCATAACAACAGCTTTAGGCCTTAGTAGGCTAGTTTCAGAGCTGGGTAAGTTCTGACCTCTGAAAACATATTCAAGCATTTTTCCCAATGCACAAATGCTTGGAGTCATCTGCACAGATTTCTGTCATGAGTGAAACAGTTATTGCTGGAAAGCTGCTGCTGGAGTCATGAAGGTTGCTTTAAAAAAAAGGGGTTCTGGGTTTTGTGTGGAATGAAGTACTTAACTTACATGCTTCAGGAGGGATATCTGGCTTTTCTGAACGGGAGGTAAATGGAGCTATGGAGACCAAATCATTTGTCTAACTTGCTTTACCACATCATCCCCCCTTACATCCAGAAACAAAAGAACTTCTACGGCAATGATCTGGAAAGGAAATGCAACAAACAACAAGTTTTAAATGTTGTTCTTCACAACTTACTTTTGTTTCTTTGAGAGAGATTATGTTACTGAATGATTCATTTTGTTGAATCACAAAGGATGGCACAGTGAAAAACTTTTGGGAACATTCACATTCGAAAGGCTGCAGGGAAGGATTTCCCCCCTCCCCACATCCTCAGCATGTGAATCTGCAAAATGGGAGGATGCCTTCCCTCCCCAACAACCTTGTGCCCCTGGTGCTTCTAAGCAAGACCTTTCAGTACTTCCTCAGGAGATGAAGCAGCTTAACAGTTTTAAGATGGCTGCTCTTGAAAACACTTGCATTATTTCCTTCTTAAATAAAACGCGTGCAACAATATTGCTGTTAAAACCTATCTGAGTGGAATAAGGGAGACAGCACATGCCATGTTACGTTATGAGGCTTAACATTTAACTAATTGCGTTGGCCTACTTACGTGAACTGGAGATTATTCTCTCATAAATGACATCTGATTTCTCTAGGGAGCCATTCATGCTATGAGAGACAATTGCAAGGGTCCTCAAGGGGATGAAGCCCCGTGATTTAACTATTCAAACATAAACAGAGAGCATCTCAAATTTTCATCAGTAATTTAACCACATGCAAGAAATGCAGAACAAAACTCTCCTCTTCTGCAACTTCTACACAAATATTTCATTTTTAATTCTTATTTCTTTTTTACACAGGAATAACAAAGCATTAATTGAAATATGAAAAGCAGCTGACTGGCCCTGACATGGTGATGTGCTCTTTTGGTGGTTTGTTTTTTTTTTTTTTTTTTTTTTTTCAGTTCCAGGGGGATTTTTGCAGGACTTAATGGGAAACAAATTGTTAGCACAGAGCCTGCAAATGGGTGCAGGCCAGATGTCAGCTGATGTAGGAAGGAGATCCGGCCTGTGTCTATGAATACCTCTGGATACCAGTGAAGTATTTGAGATAAAACATCCCTTATTCATGTATCATCTTGCAAGCTGGGAAGGGCTTTTGCTTCTCTTCAAGGCCGGAGATGCTGCTAGGATAAAGGCATTCACATTGTGAGGTAGTATTTGAGTTCTCATTACCTCAGCCTGTTTCTCACAAATGGGAGAGCTAAGGAAGTCAACAGTGTGCCAGCTTACACTCCCACTTATGAATAAGGCTGAGGCCATTTCTGAACACATGCAGCTGTGTCCAGTGGTCTGCTTTGGCTCTCCATGCTGCACTCGGAATGTGAATGTGGCATCCTGACTTGCACCTGAAATAATGTTGCCAGCAAGAACAAGGAAGTAATCATCCCTCAGTACTCAGCACTAGTGAAGCCACATCTTGAGTAGTTTGTTCAGTCTTAGGCCCCTCACTACAAGAAAGTCATCGAGGCCCTGGAGCATATCCAGAGAAGTGTAACAAAGCTGGTGATGGGTCTGGAGCACAAGTCTTATGAGGAGCAGCTGAGGGAGCTGGGATTATTTTGTCTGGAGAAGAGGAGCCTCAGGGGAGATCTTATTGCTCTCTAAACTACCTGAAGGTAGGCTGTAGCAAGGTAGGTGTTAGCCTCTTTTCCCATGCAACTAGCGATAGGACTAGAGGGAATGGCTTCAAGTTGCACCAAGGGAGGTCAAGGTTGGATGTTAGGAAATACCTATTTTTCTGAGAGAAAAGTTAAGCACCGGATGTGGTGGAGTCATCATCCCTGAAGGCGTTCAGGAAACATTTAGATATTGTACTGAGGGACATGAATTACTGGGAAATATTGGTGATAGGTGGATAGTTCAACTGGATAACCTTGGAGGTCTTTTCCACCCCTGGTGATTCTGTAAATCTTTAGGTTTATGCTTTTTTATTGTTCATACAAAAATTCTGCTGCCAGGAACAGAGAAATAACTCCCCAAACTGCAGACATCTGTTTAGCTGATTGCTTCTCTAAGCTGCCCAGCTTTCAAACCAAATTCATCAGATTTCATTGATCATTAAACTTGGCCTATTATTAGAGCTCCAGTAATGTTGATGGGGACTGATTAAGAATGGATAATCTTTCAGATTCATTCATGACCTTTACTGTACATTTTTCTTCATTACATAACAAAATATCATAATCAAAGCAGTGCATATGCACGGACAAAATAAGCTACAAAGGTAAAAATAGACATATTCAGATAAATAATGGGTTTAAAGTATGCTCACCTTTAGCATTTCATTATATTTCAAATTAAAGAACAGCAATAAAAGCGGCAATTAACAATGAATGTGGCAACATTCCAAAATGAAATATGTGATTATTTTCAATTCTGCCATACTACACAGTTTTTGAGCAAAACTGTTTGTCCGTTTAGGTCAGTCTGAATCTTTCTTTGAATATATCATTCGCTGTAAGAGAAGGAAAAATGCAGAGTTCCATTATGTATAAAAATAAAAGGCTAAGCTGATTTACAGGTTTCTAAATAACATCCCTCATTAAAATTATGATGGCATTATTAATCTGTAATATATTATACTGACTTGAGCAAATGAACATTTAGTACAAGAAGAAAAACGTTCTGCTTCACACAATAAAATGACAAGGTCGGGTGAGGAAATTTTCAAGGGAGTGAAGACAACCACTGCTTATAGAATTACACTGAAACCTCTGCCTTCAGCACTCAAGGACGCTTCTGCAGACAATTCTCCTGACACATACAGTGTGAAAGCAGACTCACTAACATAAGGTAACCTTGTGTTTGATTGCAAACTTTTTGCTTAATTGGGATGCAATGGAGTGTGATGACCGGCAAAGGAGGGGTGGGGAAGGGCTGGCATTGATTCAGAAACCAAGGGAATGACACCACTTGCGATGACAGGGAAAGACGTAGGCTGTTGTGTGCTTATCCAATAACAGCCAGTGAACGCTCTGAAAGGGACCATCTGCTGAGCTAAATCTTGGATTTAGTTTTAATCCATGTGGCTTCCTCTGCATTTATCTAGGGCTTTCAGACAGAGCGGAAGGCCTCAGTGTGACCAAGGAAGAATAGAGGTCACTTTGTTAATGTCTCCATGTTCCTACATAACATTCATAGAAAACTGACTTGGTGACTCCATAGGATACCTAAACATACGCCCACAAAGGCCCACAAAGCCTTCTGACTGTGACTGACCACAAGAAAACCAGAGAGGCTGCTCTGTCACCAATGGCCAAATGGCTGAAACAAACTTCTGTGTGCTGGGGCAGCAGATTGCCCTAGGAGACAACCTCTGCCATGGACACCGAAGAGAAGATATCTGATCCGAATGGATGTGTATCCTATCTGAATAGAAAGATATTTCCTTCAATAGACAAGAATTCCAGCCAATTTAGTTTCAGTTTTAAAGCTTCCAAAAGATGGACAGAAACAAAAGATCATTGAGATGAAAAGCAAGGTCTCTCATTGCAACAAGTTGCAACGCACAGCCGCAGGCTAACTGCATGCAACTGGCTGGCTGATAAGTTTTTCTTGGTGTCAACATCTGTTGCAGGCTGTAAGAGGAGCCTAACCAGAGAGCTTAATCTGCAAGAAACCACCAGCAGAGGAAGCGAAGGTTAAATCAGTTCGTCACATTACTGAGTTCATTAGCTTAAATGTATGTGCATAAATTGATTCTAATTTTAGGAATCATGGGAATTTATTTCACTGTTCACTCATTGAATAACATGTAGCAGAAAAGGAGGATTACTTTTTCTTCTAGAGAACACATCTGCTTTTAATTCTGTGTGGAGCTGCGTTCACCTGTACTATGAGAGCTTCTGAAAAGCAATCTTCATACAGCTTACAGCGCAGTTCTGCCACAGGCAAAGCTTTTCTCCTGGAAAATTTTCTTCTTATGAAATGGAAATAAGAAGTTCTTCTGCTTCTTTGCAACTGAAGGAATTATCATCCCTCATAGACTGCTTTACATATTTAATGAACAATTACAAGCTGGTAAAATATTACTTAAAATAGTTAAACCTATTTTAAATTTCCTCTTTGAGATGTACCCCTCTTCAGTGACATACTGGAAGAAAAGAATGCCAGAGCATAAATATTCACTGCAAAGACGAGACAAAAACAAATGTAAGGAGGTGCTACCATCAAATTTTGCCTAGGCAGTTTGACTAGAAACTCAGATTGTACAAGTCCAGAACATCAACAAACACTGACCTACAAAAAGTGAATGAAACCCTAAAGCATATATGTGAGGCGTATATCAGACCTATTTATGTAACACCAGCCAGCACTGTTCCAAAACCACTGCATTTGCAGATTGCACACAACAGGAATTAAGCACAGCAATGCTGAACGAACTTTCCTGAAGTCAAACAAAGGGAGGAAGATCTCCACTGACTTCAGGAAATCAGCTTAAATAAACCTAAAACCACTTTTCTCTTTCCTTATTGTTTCCTTATTGTCATCTTTCTCGGCTTTTTCCAACCTTAAGTGGGACTAGCTTAGTTCAATGAACCAATATTTAATGTGAAATATCTGTTATTTCTCAAAAAAGATGAAGAAAAAACTTCCTCAGGTATTCTTTCCTTAATCAGAACCTTAGTAGATGAAATTTTTTTTTTCCTTAAAGGAAGGTTAAAATATAATAACAAGGATTTCATAACTATTTTGTGCTTGATACCAATAAGATATGATATGATAACACCTGAAATACAGGAAAAAAGTACAGGAGTAGAACAATGGAAGGACCTGAAGCTGCTGATCCAACTACAGACAACTGTGCAATAAACTGCCATTGTGTGAGAGCCCCAGAACATCACCTCCTCATTATATTCCCTCAGCTCTTGCCACAGCATACTTTCCAAAAAGTGTCACCAACCACAGAAAAAGGAAGCAAAAGGCATAATTGTAACATGTCACAAGATCAGAACAGAAAGAAAAAAAACAAGCCTATAAGCCTGGAAATGGTGCTGAACAGTCATTTTTACTTTGTGCATAGAGCTTAATCAGACTTACATAGCCTACTAGGACAAGAATGAAGATGTGAGGCAGCATTCATTTAAAGTCCAAAGCGTTAGGTATTAAGGCATGAGCCTTATTCTTGGAACTAAGACTTTTGCTCCTATCCATAAAGCACAAGGTATATTACTGTACCTTTCCTGCTGTGACTTAAAAGCCTTTAGGTGTGACTTTCCTGCATAATTTGCTTACTCCGTGTAGTTTTGTCTTCAGCAACATGATTTCCACTGCAAGTCAGTTAATTCTACTGAGAGACGCCCCTTCAAATGGGGTTACAAGGAGCTGCATAGTTTTGTTTCAGTTAAAAATCTGGTTTCTTGAGATTGAACACCCTTGCAGTACACTGTACTGTATTGACTAATTACCAGCAGTGATTAGTCCAAGTAGTTCCCTTTTCTTGGTCCTGTGATCTCCTGCTTTTGCATATTATATCCTTACACTTGAAATTTTTATTTCCTTATTGGAATCAGAAGACTCCACACTGCAAACAACCCCCAAAAATACTGAAAATTAAGCTTCTATCTCCTCTATATATAGCAGTATGGAAAGTAGAACTGTTAAGAAACATCTAACCTTGCTTATACCTTGGGAAATGCAAATGCACCCAGTCGTTCCATTTTCTGGAAGACATTCTATAGTCTTAATTATTTTCTCTGCAAGAGAAGGCCAAAGCCATACACAGTTTTAAAGATGCCATATAGCACAGTGGGTTTGCACAATGAGCCAAGTTTTGCTTTAGTTTCTTTTTCAGTAATCATTAACACTCACTTTTCTCACCAGGTTTATCTTTTTACAGTATTCCATAAAGTGACCTTAACATCCTGCTCCTGTGTATGAGAGGTTTATTTCTGTGTAGGTGAAACTACTTCTCCTATTGTGCATCAGTTTACAACTATGCTTTCTGAACTCCATCAGCCATTATTTCACTCAGTTGCACAATCACTTGGCTTTTCTGCCAGTTTCTATCGTCACCACCATGAATAACTGCATCCCAAAAGTTTGTCATTGCACTCTTCGCTGCTTTTTCCAGACAACTTAAAACTTTGCTGAACACCAGGGCCTCTAACAAACTGTGAAAGATTCTGATGAATATCTCTCTTCAGAGAGAGAATTGACTTCTAGTCAGCGGTTTTATTCATGCGAAGACCTTCCTTCTCATGACTGCCCAGCTTATTTGAAAAGCTTTGGAAAAAAAAGAAAAGATTATGTAGAAGGCCTTTTGTAAATTTGTGTATGCTACATTAATGTTCTCTCTTTCATTAATATTCTTCTTGACATCATTGCTTTCAACTGTAAATGTTCATAATGAGTTTTTGACACATGCCTTGTCTATACATAAGCCTGGCTGAGTCTTCTTCAGTATATCTTATTTATTGTAGTTTTCCTAATCCTGTTTTTTTTCAGTATCCCACAACTCCAGAAATTACAGACATAGGCGGATAATTTGAGCGAAATTTTCTATGAACTTTAAAAAAAAACTAGAAAATTTAGTCTTGTCACATTCCACTCTCTGTGGACAAGGGGTTTTTGCATAGCACTGCATACCCTGATTCTAAATATGTCTTTCAGTTTTCATCCCTAAATGCAACCCATCCAAAACCAGTGTCCTGGTTGTTATTCTTGCTGCCATAAACATTCCCAATAACACATCTATTTGATACTCACACTTTGATGCGCTCCTTAAAGAAGTGCTGTGGGAGCACATTATCTCCTGTGTTTCTTCTCTTTACTGAAGAAGCATACCAAGGATTGCTTACTAGAAGAGGAAAAAAACAGGAATGTTATTCCATTTTCACTGTAGAGCAGCTGTTACCTTGTTGAGTTTTGGACAGATTAGTAAGTAGCCATAATGTTTTCAGTCATTCAAGCTATGAATTTATGTCTGAGGTAATAGCCTTAGAATTCTTCCTCCTCCTTGTTTATATTTTTCCAAATTACTAATCAGCACTTGAAAATTATCCATTTACATTGCTCAGATTCAATATGCCACCTTTTGGAAGTAAACGCCTGATTGGATTCTGCTGCTCTGCTTTACTTTGACACTTTTCTTTACAGCAGACTTTTTGGAGAAAGAGACACTCTGGTTCACATCCCACTGAGCAAGTGTGCGCTGGTATTGCAAGCCAACTACAACGAATTCTCACATTCTTTGACACTCCACACCACAAGTTGAAGATTACTCAAATTTCTAAATCCTCTAAAGAAAACCATGTTGTTAATTGACAGGACAAAAGCTTGCCCAGTTTTCTCTCTTCTGCAGTTTTGAAGGGAAAATACTGGTCACTGAGTTTGTTCAACTTTCTGATCCTCTGCAGTTGGTAGAACAATGCAGTGTGGTACATTATAATCTCATTTGGACTTTGATTCATTTAAATCAGTTTGAACTGATAAGTAGCCAGATGTCCATTCCCCTATATAAAATCCATGACAAACAGTAAAATATCATCTTATATTCAAGTGAGTTCATTCCAGTGCAAAGTGCTGTAAGAACTTCAGAACCACTCCTATGAAGAAAGGTTGAGGGAGTTGAGCTTATGTAGCTTAAAGAAGAGAAGGCTTTTTGGAGACCTCATTGCAGCTTTTCCAGTACTTGAAGAGAGCTTACAAGCAGGAAGGGGACCAACTTCTTCCACGATCTGATAGTGATAGGACAATGGGGAATGGCTTTAAAATAGAAGAGAGGAGATACAGGTTAGATATCAGAAGACATTTTTTTTCCTCTCAGTCTGGTGAGGCACTGGCACTGCTGCCCAGAGAAGCTGTGGATGTCCCATCCTTGGAGGTGCTCAAGGCCAGGCTGGATAGGGCCCTTGGCAGCCTGATCTGGTGGGTGGCAGCCCTGCCAACCCCAGACAGCGGGAGGATTAGAGCTCAGTGATCTTTAAGGTCACCTCCAACCTAACCCATTCTATGATTCTGTTATTAGTTGTTCACAAACCGCATATATATGTGATAAAATATTAGTCTTTCCATATAATTACATTTAATTTGATTGTATAACAAACCTCCTCACAAGGAAATTTAGCAGTGTATAATTGTTTCACGGTCCTAAAGTTATTGTACATAAAAAATGTACAAGTTGCATGTCTTTAGTACAATATAATGATCCTCAAAGGTTTGTTTTAGAAAACATAATAGTGAAGTAAAAAAAAAAAAAAATGAATTACATGAAAGAGTCTGTCAGTATTTGTATTTAGCCTTGCTCATCATTGGGACAAAGGCACAAGGGTCACATTAACATATAAGAAATAATTCAGATATTTAAGTATTATTCAACAAAAAACCGAACACCTGTAATTTCCGCAAGTGACAAGAACAGTAACACAGAGTGTGGACTACCAGCATGAGTACCACTACTCCAGAGCAGAGTTCACTAGAATCCCCTTTCCCCCTCCTTCACCGTTAGCAGCAAGAACCTCTTCATGAAAGTGGTTGGAAATTGAATTTGCATTTTTTTTTTGTTTTTCTTATTTGTCGCAATGTTTCAATGTGATGTTGAAAATGTCTCATTTGTTTCAATGCAAGCCATTTAAAGTATTCTCCTTTAATGCACTCAGAGTTGAAGGGCTTTTTGTTAGAGATCAAAGAAACATCTTTTATTTTGCTGCCTGCTTAATTTATAAAACAAACAAAAAAACCCCAATGATCTTCTGCTCAGTAACTCAGTGCAATGCTTGATAATTAAAAAAAAAAGTCCCCAAGCTTGCTTCTTTTCCAAGAAAATGATGCATTTGCCTTGCGAGCTCGTGTGAGAGTTACGATTGGCATAGTTGTCATTGGGGGAGTGGTTTGCATGTTAACAAACACTATATGTAAGCCTTTTCCACAGGGGCCAGCCTGCAGAGGAGCTCCTGTGCACTGAGGAAAGGACCACGTACTACTGCACCCAAGTGAGTTCTGTTTCAGCTTTGCTTACTGCAAGAACCTGGTTTCTCTTCTTCATGCTTTCTTCTCCTGATCTCCTTCTGCTGTTATAAGAGCTGCATAGAATTTGCTCTCTACAAATCACACTATTTGTGCAACAAGTTCTGAGAGTACCTAATATTTTAATTTTGTTAAGTTTATTGAACATAAGTCTATGGCTGTGGCTGTTGGCATAATGAGGGATAATCCTGAGTTCTACACATCAGCTGCACTATCTACGTAACGCTTTTTAGCTGCTTACAAACATCTTTAAACTTCCACCTGTAAGTTTGGCACCTGTACAAATGCACACAGTGCTTCAAACAACCTTCAGCTATATCTTCTCAGACATTTTCTATCAGATCAGATATCTTCTGCAGATTGCAGCAAGCCCCCACCTCTCATCAGTAGCTGATGCAATCAGCACTGAATGGCTTTCATACTTGAGATAATTGTCAGAGAAATGCATTCAATAGGAAAAGCAGGCAAAAAACCTAATACAGGTTAAGCATGCAGGGCCCTGCAGGGGGCTTTCAGTAACCAAGAGAGCAGTTTAGAGCAATATTCTGCTAGCCGTAATGACATATGCACTTGCTTATGTAACCAAAACAAATCTAGGCTAATGTCAGAGAATTAGATACATATTAAGCAGCACTAACCAGTTCCTCTAGGTCATTTTTACGCACTGTTCTATTCATATTCCAAATTCCCACCTGTTCTCTGGCTCACCAGTGGATTAACATGCTCTCATTCTAATTCCTGCTATTATTTGATAAAAGAAATCTTCCTGTATCTGCTTCTACTTAATGCATTTTTCTTCATTCAAAAACACAATTTTTAATCTTCTCTTCAAAAGGATTCTCTGAGTATCTGTCCAGGATTTTTTTTCTTTAAAATCTCACTGCCTTCACTATGTGCAGAATTGTCCTGGGCACATTTTCTCTGCTGAAAGCCATCCATTACACAAAGTGACTTCTTCAATTCCCATTTTGTGCAGCTACAATTGTTACCCTCAAAGCAGCGAACTCCTATGCCACTGATGGAGATAGTCTGTAATCTCAGGGTTTGCTCTTAAGATTTCTAGTAGCAGTTTGTCACGCACAGCCTTCTACTCAGCTATTAGAAAGCAAAACCTGTTGAAAATATAGACCACTTTTGAGCAAAATCTCACTATCAATTTATTACAATAACAGCCATTGGTGGTTAGGTTGGCATGCCACTTGTTGATTGCTAATCTGCAAGTGGCACGCCATGCTGCTGGAAGATGTGAACATGAATATATAAAGGCTTACCATATAGGCTGCAAACTTCAAATATACTCACCCTGTTGCTAGTTAATCCAGAAGGAAAATAAATAGTATCTGCCATATCCACACAGCTCATACTCAGTGTAAACAACTGCACGTATTTGGAGTCCGCCTACTAGCACTCCCATAAAATAAACTACAGCAATGAACTGAGAAAGTTAAATACTCAGAGTTGCCACTCCTTAGAAGTACTGCAAAATAGTGCTGGAATGACTCTTGTAAAGAGTAAGAGCCTGCAATGAAACAGGACAGAAAACAAGGATATTCAGCTAATAACAGACAGGCATTTCTATGCTTTGGATCTGGGTCACAAACAGCAGAGGAATCTTGTGATACCACCTGCCTACTTTTCACCAGGTGATATTTGTGGGAGTGGGAGAGTGGACATTATGCCCTTCAGAGTCTACCTATGCTAACTCCTACTCACAGATAATTAACACCAGGATACTTCAAATACAGTCTTGTGCTGAACTGAGCTAGAGGAGAAGCAAGTCTCCTTTCAGTGTTTAAAGGGAGATAATAGAATAGAATATAGAATAGAAGTTGGTAGAGAAACCAACTTCTTACATGGGTAGACAGCAATAGGGCAAGGGGAAACAGTTTTAAGCTGAAGGAGTGGATACATAGATTAGATGTCAGGGAGTTTTCCCCACAGAGAAATTCCTGAGGTACTGGTGCAGGCTACCCAGAGAATCTGTAGATGCAGCAACCCCAAAAGCATTCAAAGTCAGTTAGGATGGGGCCCAGGGCAGCAGCCTAGTGCCTGATCTAGCAGTTGGCAACTCTGTCCATGGCAGGTGGTTGGAGCTTGACAATCTTTGAGGTCTCTTCCAACCCAAGCCATTCTATCATAACACATACGGATGTACAGAAAGTAGGAGTTGAAGGGCTTCAAAAACTTGCCGTGGTACAATAACTTGCCAGCCAAGAAGAACAAATGCAGGGCTCAAGCCTCTATCTGCTTGCCTCAGATAAATATTTTGTAACAAGTTCTGGGTGCAGGCACTGTCTGCAGTGTCACAGAGCTAAGCTCTGTCTGTTTGCTTCGATTATAAAAAAAACTAAAACGGCCAAAAATTACTGCTGAGTAAGTACATTGCTCCTAAGTGTAGGGATTTACAAGTCAAGCAGTTTGTGAACATAAGTCAGGACATGTACCACCAGATGCAGGCGACCCCCAGCCTTTAGGCCAAGTGTTCTTCAAAGCTACAGGTTCACATTTCTCATTACTGGTCTGTTTGAAAAGACCAGTGAAGCCTAAAGAGCAACTTAGACCTTTGTCTCCTCTGGTTCATTCTGCTGTGAAACTAATGTCAAATTAAGTGGAAAAACACCACCACAACAGGAGATAAGAGCACTGGGTCTGACAGCAGTGTGTGCCACCATTCTAGGGCAGAGCAGGAGGGTACAGAAGACCTGGTGGGCAGTGCTGGAGACCTCTGCCAACTGAATAAAATCAGGCCATATTTGCACGCGTGGTAAATTGAGGGGGCGCACATTCTTCTAAGTATCTTCCTATTTTTTCCTTAATGTCTGCAGCATTGTTCAATCTTGGCTAGTTGCGCTGCAGATTCACAGCAGGTGACAGTTAAAGAACAAAGCAGTTTAGACTAGTCCAGACGAGGAGCTGATGTAGCTAGGATACAAGGAGAGGAACAAAAACAAACAAAAAAAAAAAAAAAAAAAAAAAAGAAAAAGAAAAAAAAGAAAAAAACCTGGTTTCCCCAGTTCCCCCACTCCTGAGGAAAGATATTAGGTGGCCAAAACAGCAGTTACAAAGTTATTGAATGAACTTGAGCATTCAGGGCAAGGACATAAATTCCCCAGGCAAAACCAACAGCTGCCTATGGAGAGCTGAGTAACACATTTAAGAAGTAGCAGTGACTTGCAGCTATTCTCTTTGTTTTATGGGGAGTTAAAGGGAGGCCACTGGTTTGTCTGAAGACTACAGAGGCTACAAGGCACAAGTTTTACAAGAATGACCAGTGTTGGCAAGAGTTATGATTATTTAGACTTTTGTTCTACCGTAAAACACTTAAAGGAATTTTTAAACATCCGATGAGGAAATAAGACCTAAACAGTCTCTCATGAAAAATCATCTTCGTCACTCCCTTGTCTGGCTATTTCCTGACATTTCTGCACTTGCAATTTTATCTGTGTGCCTTGGTCTCAGGCATCCAATTAACCCATTTGAAACTCTTTACAACTTGGGAGGCTGTACAGAACTGTTTCAATATTTATTTAAATAAAAGTGGGACCAAGAAATTAAAAAAAAAAAAAAAAAGCCTGAGAGTCTCTGACTCTCAGAAAGCAAAATTGTCACAGATACTCAAAAAAGTCTGCCAGACAAAGCAGACTGAGAAGCCTTGTTCCACTGCCATCCCGAGCAGGCCACCACCACAGTGACTGATTCAGAACGATCATGTGAATGCACAAGACTCTCATCTAGCCACT